AGGTCATCGTCAGCGTTGAACGGCAATTCTAAGAAGAAGAAGAAGAAGAAGAAGAAGAAGAAGAAGACAATATAGCCTAACAACCACGATGTAAATCATTAAGTGAACAACCAGGAATGATTAACCATTTTAGTAACACTGCTAAATATATCATAATTTCCCTTTTTTATTTTCATATACCCTGAGACTTTTAGAAGGCAGCAGTACATCGGAGAGCACTCGGCAGGCGCTCTGAGGGAAGGGCACACCAATTTCGACAGACCTCGGTGGCGCGCCCTGGTGGCCGGAGGCCCAAGTTCCAGAGGGGGGCTGCCAGCCCGAGCTGGCGGCCAGCAGGCCCGCCGCCGGGCCGACGAGCTGGCAGGCAGCTGGGGCGCGGTGCGGCGCCGGGGCAGCAGCAGCGACGCGACACACCGCGGCAAGGGGGGAGTAAGGGGAAAGGAAGGGGAGGGAGCCAAGACGCGGGGCGGCAGCAGACGCCCCTGACGCTACTCACGGCAGCTGCGTGTTCCGCCTCGACATTTCGCCCTTCCCGCGACTTACAAAAGTCAGACTGATTCCTCACACTACTACGGCGCTTAATATACTTTTGCCCCATGTGAACAAAATTCCATGAGAAAGGTTGTACATTAAGGCCTGTTGTTGGTACCATGTCAGAGTATTTCTGTACTCGGTGGAGGCCCAGCCCCACACGCCCACCCACAGGGACCGCGGCGCGGGCATCACTTCCCACGCGACGGCTGCAGATGCCCGTGCGCCCGCGTTCTTCCCGCCGAAACACTTGAACAACAACAACATGAACAACACCACGTGACCCCGCGACTCGGGCCGGCCAGGCAGTTGAGGCCGTCGCCGTCGGGGCGCGCTGGCATCACCTCTCCAGCATGGCTGCAGGACCACGGGGGTGGGGGGCCCGGCCGGGCCGTGGCAAGCCGGCCGGCCGCCACCGCGCCTCCACATGGCTGCTGCCGAGGCTGCCGCTGAGGCTGCTGCCGGCCAGGCATGGCCGACCGGCCCGAATCAATCCGAGGTCAAGTCGAAGAAATATCGGAGCCAATGTGCGCTCCACGGCAAACTACTGCGTGGGACTGCAGGGCGCGGCCGTGAGCCGTGTTCAAAATAATTACTTTCTTGACAAAAAAAAAAAAAAAAAAAAACAGCAAAAAAAAATATCAAATAAAATGGTCAATTACAATTTTTTTCATTTTTAGACAGTTCCCCAGACTGTCTCTACAGGAAGGTTACGCGCCCACACCTGTTGCAATTTGATTCGCAACTGGGTAACAAGCCAACAATGAACAACTTCCTCTCTAAATGGCCCGCTCATGCGCGCACCACCCACACGTAAAATAGAGGACTATTAATTATTAATTATTAAAGACAAACAGTAATAAAGATAAATATATGCTCCCACTAAAATTCTCCAAGTCGTCTTTCAGCTTTACGCAAAGAAGAGTGCGGTAACATTTACAAAATTAAAATTAGGACAAAAACCATGTGCCCAGTCCACGTTTTGTAAAATGACACCTTGTAGGGGAGCAGAGAACTGTCTCAAAGTGTGTGGTTGGCGGGCGTGAGTGGGGTGCGGTGGTGTGCACGCCCGGCCCACACACGAGGCCGTACACTTGTCACTGGACCAGACGGGGCCTCTCAGCCGTGCCTAATACCCACGGAATCCAAATTACCCCGGGGGAGATACTCACCTGAGCTCCCCTCGGCAGAGCAGCGTCAGGGAGCTCCGATAAGTTACAGGACTGAACGGGAAGACCCATGCATCCATTTTCTAAATTCCTCCCAAAGACAAAAACAGAGGACAAATAAAAATATATGGAAAGAGAAATACTACGGTTGTGGATTATATAAAGTGTATCACATTTTCACCGACGAAAAAAGGGGAACACAGGCTTGACACCTGCGAGGAAAATTACATGTTGTTCCACGATTACCTATAGCACCTGAAACATTTTATCACATGCGATAAACGATTCATGCAAAAGAGAGGAGAACAAATAAATAACGGCGTTGATAGCATTTCCGAAGCCCATATGGGACAGGAACACAAGCGCAACCTCACCTGCCCGAACGCAACACATCTGCTGCAGCAGCGTGCGGGAGCATCGTGTTTAACGCCTACCCACCGTACGTGAGCTACACGTGAAAAATTTCTGTTTACAGCACAGAGAGGAAATAGTTCTACATTAACGGGAAAATTTTCCATAATGTATATTGTAAAATTACAATTTTAAATGAAAAATTACAAGCGATTCGAAGCGAACTGGAAATGAACAGCAAGCTAGATTGGGTTACCGCAAATTTGCAAAATATTTTGTTAATATATATGCAAAAAAAAAGAAAAAAAATTGTTAATAAAAATTACAACAAATGTAAATTTACGAGGGTATTTTTCACACTGAATAAATAAACTATAGTTGCAAGAACCAAATAAATATATAACTGCAAAACTAAATAATACATTTATGACTTTTTGAGATTACTTTGGGGTGGAAAATACTCATCCGCTGCAAATATGGTAGTATAAAGAGAGCTTATCGAACACAGTAGTACCCAGAGCCAGATCATTCTCGCTTTTGGCCTTCCCCCCGCCACACACGCGGCATTGAAATGTATACACGCTCGCATAAGTGTATGCCGACGATGCCCATCCCACTCGAACCGACCAATCTCTGCCCGGCTGTGTTTGGTCGAGGGCCAGGCCTCAGCCACGGGGCGGGGTTGGTTCTGAACGAGAAAGACAACATTACAGAAAGATTACTAGAGCGACGAAAGTTGTGTTCTTTTCGATTCACTTTCCAGCCGCCTCCCTACATGCTCGAGCAAATGCGAGAAGTAAATATATTATAATAGTTCATTCCCCTCCAGTCCAGCGCTCGCCCACCGCCCCCCTCTGTACACCAGCGGTTAATTAGCCTATACGATCGGCCCCTTACATAATTCATGGTGGTTTAAAGACGGCCCCCTGCCAAGTTGTTGGACGGGCGATGCCAATGGTGCCCCAGCCCGGCGGGCTGGTTTGGCTCAGGACGCATAGGAACAGTCTCATTTCGAGATTGGGCTGGCTGGCTGACTGGCTGGCCCCTTGGCGCGCCTCGCCGCGCCCCACCCCGCGCCGCGCCCCGCCACACCACGGTTCAGTCACGCGAGAGCCTTCAAGCACGCGCGCACGGGTTAAACTAAGAAAATCCAGGTGCCACATTTAACCCCCGTTGAGGCGTCAAAAGCTGCAGAGGCAGACATGTCTAGAGAATGACAAATACAGGAAGAACATTTTAAAAATTTGTAAGATACATATTCTTTTTTTATTTTTTAAAAGTGAGAGGGAGCGTTTAACTTTATCATTTTTTCAGAAAGACCTTTCATTTCATTCATGCTGGAATATCGCAAGAAAGACTTAACTCCGGATCCTTGTAAGAATTTAACAACGATTCAAAAAAAATAAAAAATAGACCAGAAACCAATCCAAAGCTGAGAATTGCATCTTTACATAACAGAGCATTCTGTCTATGAGTCAGTTGCGTGCACATGCATCTCAAGGTAACAGTCGATAATCCAACAATTCCATTATTATTTGCCGCCCCCCGCGTTGAAGTCGCTGCGTCACTACATCTAGTCCCCGCGGTGGGCACCTCCTACACGTGTTTCCGAACCGCGGCGGCCACGCGTACAAGTGTAGTGCGGGACCAGGCTGGCCAACCCTTTTAATACATGCATGCACAAGGTGAACCATAAATTTCTCTCCAACACGCCACCTCACCTGATGTGTAAATGCAGTTAACTAAGCTATGGCGGTGTCGGCCGTGGTATGTATATATGTGTACAAACACAAGCGCCACCGTGAGCGACGCTACAGGAACAGAAAAAGGAAATAGAATGCAGACTATTTGCAGGATTTGAACCGTGAAACCTGTTCTGAAAGTGTCTCTCCAGCCAGGCGGAAAAATAGAGAGAGGGAGAAAACATGAGTACGTCAGATAAATGCAACCTAAGCATGCAAGCAGGAAAGGCATCTGAAACTTGTGCAATTATTCACGCATTTAGCAACGCGATGCAACGATATCACAGCCAGGCAGGCCAGGGGCGAAGGAGGTTCTTCTGCTCCTTTTTCCCCACTCTCGAGCGGCGGAAAAGAAGTAGTGTCTTAAGACTAATCGACCCGGAACACTCGGGGTCAGAGTTGCGCAACGCAACACAGCAAAGGGGCCGGCGACTGTTTCAAGAGCAATAATTAAACGCAAATGACTACGTCCGTTTTTCGACTTCGCCCTCCTAGCCCCTCTTTCATTTTTTTTTCAAAGAACGGCTTTACGATTGGTCTATTTGATTGCTATTAACCGTTGCGTCGTAAATAAGCCGAAAGGGTCGTGTGAAACGCCTTGTGAGCGACTTCACGAAGCCGACACATTTGTTTAAAGCAGCTCGCATCCCTTAGGCGACTGGAACAATTTGTATTATGACAATAATCCATCCGGACCAGTCTCGAACGGCCAGATACATAACTGTCTTGCAGTGTGCCTAACAATCACAACAGAAAGAGTCTCCAGATAGTTCATATCATAAAACCGTTACAAGGTACGCGCTGCATCAACAATCTCCCCCCCCCCCTTTCCCCTTTTTTTTTTGTTGATCTCTTTTCTGTCCGCGCGACGCCAAGAAACAGAGCAAAAACAGTGCGGCCAAAGATTGTTGTTGTACTCACCGCAACGGTCCACGTAAACACTTTTTTTTCTCTCACCGGGCGCCCGTCCCGTTCCTCTCTCCACCCCCGCGCGTCCGCTCTGGTATTACGGTACCGGGACAGTCCAATTTTTTTTCCCTTCCTTCTTTTCGGTCGGGAAGTCAAGGAAATTATACCGTTGTCTGTTTTTCTGGCCACAGGGGCGGTTTTCGTGGGTGTCCCGTTAGGAGTCGGCCCTGAGGGGGCTGTCGGCACCCGAGGGTTGGAGGGCCAAGCAGTCCAGTCTCGGCCTCGTCCCCCGCACGGACACTCGGGCTCCGGCACGGCAGAACGGAATGCTGCCCAACGACAAGTGTGATTTCGCCCGCAACGTTGCTTTCCGAGTGCACAAATGCAAAATCATTGGATGGAGTCGTGTGATGGCCGTGAAAAGAAGAATACCCCAACTGGCGAAGAGGCAGCAAGGAATACGACACACTTAATTGGTAAACGTCCATCATTTTTTTCTCCTCTTGTAAAACACTGCTTTTCCTAGTTTGGAAACCTACCAGGATTGACTCGCGCCTCGGAGAGCTTTTTCAGACATCACGTTCGATAGGTGATTATCCCCGCTGTCATTGGAATGCTGACTCTGCGGCGTAGCACGCCCATCTTATCGCTATAATGTCTCTCTTTCTCTCTAAACGTTTCCAAACCGCCACCGTGCGCCCGGCCGAGTGCTCGTTTTCTAGCAAAGGGGTTTGAGAAAGTTGCGTTTGGCTATAACTTTCATTCGGTTTCGAAAATCCTGCGATAACATTCAAAATTACAGGGCTGATACAGTA